ACAATTGCACCTATTGAAGTTCCAGAGTATATTGATATTGATGTTGTTGATGATCCTGATGAAGAGGCTCGTTTTTAAGTAGAACGAGAGATTTATTTGTTTAATGATGGAAGGAAAGACTGTCAGTAATGAATGAAATTAAATTCTTTAATTAATAAGAAATTGGAACTGAAACATTCTGATCTCAATCACTTGGAACTTTAGGTCCTTAAATACATTTTGAACGTTGGGCGCGTTGACGCGCCAACGGCCGCGTTTACATGCCTATTGGCACGGTTACATACCTACTGGCACGGTTACATGCCTACTGGTATACATGTGTGCCTAAATTGCCCATATTAATAAAAAAGTAATTATGGCATTTAGGCTGCCGAAATTAGTCTTATATTGCCGAAATTAATTTTCATATATGCCATAATATAGTTATTTTGGAGGGCTTCATATAAAAAATTTAGCAATACTGAGATGTTTGCCGAAAATACATTTTTCAAAAATAATTTAGGCACACATGTATACCTACTGGCACGGTTACATGCCAATCTCTGAGCCATTTCCTTGTGATTATGCAAATCTACCATTATAATAGGTTCAAACGGTCCCACTGGCACGTTTACGTGCCTTGAGTAACATTCGTATGATTGAGCCACCAAGCCACCCATCAGAGCACTGTAAAATACCGGAGCTCCGGTAAATTAAGAAAAAATTCCGGCACAATTTTTTAATAATCAGAAATTTTCTTTTTGGTCAAAATTTTAACACATTCTACATCAAGAATAATTGTTACTATCGTTACTACCTCCGGCTATAGATTCTAAATTCCGTTTAATAAAAAGATCACCGAAAAAATATCAGGACACGTCATGCCACAATTTTGTACACTGCCACCCATCATTACCGTTTTGGTATAAGTTATGAAATATTCAAAAGAAATTAATAAATCTACTAACGCTAACGCTAAAATTGGGGTAACATAACTAAATTATATTCAAGCGGAAAGGTTACCGACTAAAATATAAGTTTAGAACAAAAATAAAGAAACTAAAAATTTAATTTGTTACATATTAATTACATTATATATAATTTGAAATATATATGTTTTCACACAGACTAAACATGTTGGTCAAGTATTTAAACGAAAATTTAGTAATATTGAACGTGCCGACATTTATAATGTTAAAATTATCGTAGAAAGTATCATATTTAATGCATATGTCCTTTATATATAGGGATATATCAGTATATTTGCGTGTAAATTTCTGATATGTAATTTTTGTTATGTAAATTTCTGATATGTAATTTTTGTTATGTAAATAACATTGTCCAGAACTTTTATAGAGTGGTATGCAAAGTCTAATAATGTCTAATAATGATGGCAAAATTTTTGTAATGCAGGTCAATAATCATGTGCCACTGCATTAATTAATATAAAGCTATATACAATTTGTAATTTTATTGAATCTATTATACAGAAATAATAAATTAACCGGAAAAACCGAAAAATCATTCGGCGGATTTTTTATCAGGTCTTTAATTTCTAAGTTTTCTTGAAAAAGTTTTTTGCTTGTTCAAACGATTTCAAATTCTTTAATTAACTTACGAATCAGTAAAATCATAAGGCATTATGAAACTATGTTTAGTTAATCAAGGCTAATTTTAATCGTGATCTAAGTAACAAGTTATAATTCTGGTCAAATTTGCAGATAAATAAAGCGGGTGGATGGGTGGGTTTTTTAAATAAAGCAAGTGGGTTGGCGGCACTAGCTTTTTTAGTTCTAGTTTGTTTGTTACGCAATGATGTTCATTGCGTAATGAAGTTTTTTTTTTAAAAAAAATAAAGCGGGTGGGCAACGATGTTTATCGCGTGAAACTTGATATGTTGTAGTTTTGTTTTATCACTTGGACTTTGTTATCAATCATGTTTGTATGATCAAGATTTACGAGAAAAATATAGAGAGTGTATGTCACGGATCTTTAAGGAACATAAGGAGAAAGTTAGCACTTCAGATTTTCAAATGATAATTCGCAATGAACAAAAAGATTTTATGAAACGAATGGTGATTCCTTCATCAACAGCCGATAATGAGGCACTGTTTTTCTTGGAACTTTTCAAATTATATTACAAACATGAATAATTTTATTATTTTGCTCTTATTAAATTTGTATTTAGGAAAACGTAATAGTTATTCGATTATTAGCACTGATTCATCATGTTGGCATTGTAAGTTACTAGAGTTGCTGTAATTACTAAACTAATATAACATTCATTTGCTAATAAATTATATAATTTTGAATTCTCTTAGAAACTGGTGATCTTGAACCAAAAGATATAGATGTGCGCTGGACTGGAAATAGTTCGATTATAACTATTCTTCGAGCGCCAAATGGGATCATAAAAGATTTGGAGACAATATAACGTTGCGCCTGCAGCAATTGGCCATTTTACTTTGGATGATAATCATGGAAATAAATATAGATTTGCCGAACATGCATACTATATAAATAATTACACTAAAGATAATATAGCTCTTCAAAATTACCAAGGAGACAATCCAGTAAATGTGGAGTCCAACTATGGTAGTAGGTTTAACATACAACGTGGTGCAACAGTAAGGGTTGCTATTTCAATATATTATGGATGCCTTGCTTCAACAGAATCAGATATACAAACAGAATGTAATAGTTGCGATGTTACGTTTGATTCACCTTATCTATTTTAAGTTTCGCCGTAGCAGATTTGGCTTTAGAAGAATTGTCATATTAAATATATAATTTTTTATAGTGCATATTTTTAGTGATTACAAAAATTTCATTGTCATATAAGAATTTTTTTAATTTTTTATAATTAATTTTCATCCGTAGTGATATCGTCTGGTATTATAAAATTTCTATTAAAAATTAAATAACTTCAAGGTTATGGATTATGGTTAGCCTTTGTTTAGAGTCGAAGCATAGTTTTAATAATAAAACTTTGAGTTATTAAAGTTTTTTTTTTGGTTTTTCTTTGTTTCTTCACTTTACTTTGGTTGCACAAATCCGGTGATCTGATTGGCTTTTCATATAACTAGGTGTTATCACCCCAATGGCAAGTGGGCAGTAGTTTTCTTTATATTTAGACAATACAAACTTATATAATCGGTTTTCATATCCTGGCTATATCAGCAAAGTGGGAATCCAAAATGTTTATTTTTTAATATATCAACCAAATAGAAATTCTCCACGAACATCATGTAGCCCCAACAAAATTGAATCATTGCACAGGAGTTCTTGCGGCATTTCTGAAATCTGTGAAATTACCTGCCTGACTCTATCACGGCGGCATAAAAATTGACCCCGATTACATATGACCTATCAATTATGCCATCAGTTACGTAAAATTATTACTAATCAAAAAAGGAAATTGTTTAAATATTTCCTTTTCAAAGCGATAATGATAATAAAACTTTAACATTATAGTCAATATAATTGAAACATATAGTCTACCTTAATTTTTTCTTTTACTGTAACCTAATCCGCAGAAGTTCTTTGAACACCTACGTTAATTTCTTAATTGTTTGAAGTTGAAACACACAAATATATGGAAGGCAGCACTATAACGAATACACAAATATTTTCCTGGAATACTTTACCTGAAGCCTTAAAAACTGTCCTTCCTCAAAATTATACATACCAAATTCAAAAATTCAATATCCTGTCATTATATAAAACACCAGAAAACTTTGATGTTTCAAATTTCGAATTAGATGCATTTGCAAACGTTAATAGTAAAAAGGAAGCATCAGAGTAGATTTCAGCGTTTTAACTACATTCAAAGATCACAATGCCAAAAACTAGAAGATATACAATAAAAGGACATAGAGTTCTATTTTGAGAAACATGGCATTGTGTTCACAGTCATGAAGTAAAAAAAATGCTCAAACAAAAAGACCACAATCGTCCAGAGCACGTGAAATATTTTGTAGCGTAACAATTCATTTGCGTCTGGAAAGGCAATGACTTTTATTTGATCACCCATTGGAAATTAACCTGAAGTATATTCATAATCATGTTATTAACTCAGCAGAAGCATTAAGCCTTCACCCTGTTAAAGAAGAAGTTCATGAAGAATTTTTAAATTTATTTAAAAATGGACATTCCCATTTCATGGCATTATATATATACCAAGATAATCTCCATATTAATACTACAAATGAACAAGAATTGATTGAATTACTTGCAAACAAGGTTTTTAATTCTGACTATGATTATGTTGCAAAGCTTTATCAAAAATACCATGATAGCATACTTGGAAGTCATAATGGTAAATCGATATTTGAGTGTCTGGCAGAAGTAGTTAAGGAGTATAATAGTTCAGGTCAAGGAAGAGCCATTTTACAAGAATATATAATGTATATACTAAAAATGCATTTATCTTGTGTATTGTTACAAATTTTATGTTCTGTGTTCATGAAAAAGTACGACAAGCGGGTGAATTATGCTATTTAGATGTATCTGTATCATTCGAGTCTTTTAATACCTCAATTACACTTATGTATACTAGCTGCGCAATTGGTACCCTTCTGTTTGAAATTTTTATAACTTCAGACGAACTTGAAATAACATTAGAAAAAGCATTAAACTTATTAAAGACTATACTTCTGTTACATGTTTTTTATAATAATGGACCACAATTAGGGCCTGCAGTATTTCTTACAGATGATTCTGGCACAATATAAAATGCTTTAGAATTGTGCTATCCAAAAGCAATTCATCTTTTATGTACCTTCCATGTGCTACAAGCATTTTGGAGGTGGATTTATGATTCCAAGCATAAGGTTAAAAAAGAAGATCGTATGTACATTATGGCAAAAATGAAAAAGGTTCTATATGCTAAATCAAATTTAGAAATAGAATCATATTATCAAGAATTTAAACAGGAGTTTTATTATAATTACCCTCAATTAAAAAGACATTTTGAACTACTATGGAAACGTTATCACTTTTGGGCATTTTCATTTTGTTTAAACTTACCGCTTCGTGAAAATATTACCAATAACTACATTGAACGTAGCTTTGGAATATTAAAAGACATTATATTTTCCAGAACACAAGCATACAATCCCATTCAAGTGTTCCAATTTATCACCGCTAATATAGAAAGGTTTTATGAGCATCGTTTACTTGGCTTTGCAAACATGCATCCTGACCATTTACAACTTGCTAAATGTTTTTTATGCCCCAGATGGGAGCATGTAAATAAAGAACAGATTCAAAGAACGAATGTTGAAAATGAATATTTAATATCTAGTACACAACAGAGCACAGATATTTTTTATATCATAAATAGTGAAATCGGTACATGTTCTTGTTTTGTTGGTATAAATAGTGCCCCATGTAAACATCAAGGAGCCGTCTCAATAAAATTTCATCTTTCAATGTTTAACTTTATTCCATCATTAACGCCAAATGACCATGCAAATTATATTTACATTGCACTTGGTTATGTTGCTCATAATAGTTCGTTTTATGCCTCGCTTCATGCACAACAAGCTCCACAACAAGAAAATTTACACCATAGTGAACCAACATTTTCTAGTACTCTGAATATTAATAACGAAACAAGTGATACTTCAGATATTGAGTGGAAAGAACCAAACGAAAATCGTGAAGATATCGATATTTTACTATTTGTTGCATTTTTAGAAGAGGTTAAGTTAGATTATCAAAATGCTGGCAAACCACTACGTGCTGCATTGGATAAATTCAAAGAACGTTATAATGTCACAAAATCAAAATCAATTTCTCGGTTATCTTTCTATTTATATAATTTAAATCATAATATGGATCTAATGGCTCGTGTTAAGAGTGATACGCAAATCAGAGTTCAAGTAGAATCAGTTAAAAGACGTAAAGTAGAAAATGGTAGAAGAAAGCGAAGATTCCCTGCTTCTGCAAACAAAGAAAAAGAAAATACGGATCCTCAAACTATTCCAGCACGAAAAAAGAAAAAAATAGGTAAAAAGGTTCATAGGTTAAGTGTAAATATATCAAATAATCAGCCAAACTAAAGTATAAATGTAATAGTTAAAATAAATTTGGGTCAAATAATTTGCTAAAACTGCACGAAAAGGCATTGTAAAGAAAGCCCAAATGTTATACAGTAGCAGATATTAGTAAAAATTCGAATATTTCAGTATTAGTTATATATAGCGGTAGTGATATTAGAATTAATAATGTATATATATTGATATTTAAAATTTCCCGCTAATAAAAAAATAATTTCGGTATAGTCAAATTGACCGATGGTCCTAAATAGTACATCATATTATCAGCTAACCTGTCACAGATTTCAGAAATGCGTTCTTGCGAAATAGTGACAGTTTCAATTTCTGAACTCATTCTAATTTAATGATCTATCGTAATATGAATACCACCTAAATACTAATCAGTAACATACTGTATAATGCGTAATTGAAAGTATATACTCTAGAGTCCTCCAGGGCGGCCATCAATTTTGCAGTGACGTCGATTATGGTGCAGCTGCAGTAATACGGCGCAGCCATGATCTACATACAAATAACGGTAAAAAATTTTTTTTTCGCTCTTGAATAATACTCAAACCAAAACAAACTCTTTCAAACCTAATATTATTAATGTTATGTTTATATTTAATAACTTATACAAATTTATTTATTTATTTTT